GCTGGAGGCTGCGCTGGGCTCTTCCCAGCGGGGGGGCAGGGCCAGGGCTGCACTTGGGTTAGTCGATGCTGGGGTAGGGGGGGCTACAGCCCCCTGGGGAATGTGTACAGCAGCAGGAGTTGCCCCCTGCCCCCACCAGATGAGCCTCTCACAGTTCCATCCCACACCCCCCTGCCCACTCCCTCCCTCACCACAGGTTATTTTATCAAGTCTGCCCCCTCATGCCCCTTCCCTGCCGCCCCACAGACATACCAGCCAGATGCTGCTCTGCAAACTGCCAGGATGCATATCAGCAATCAGTTCAGTATCAGCCAAGATGGCTCGTTAATAATCGGCCATCAGTACTGGCCCAGAAAATCTTTATCGGTGCACCCCTAGCTTTTATTGTTATGAATAAGTGGCATAAGCCAGAATATTATATTCCTTTGGCTGCAATTATTTACTTATGTGTTTAAGGATTCTCTCTTAACATGCACAAAATCCTTATACAGTATAAACTAGCTTAAATATGCATGTCAAGATGAACAACATCATTTCACCATCTTTAGAAAGCAAAGCTGCCCTCAACGCTTACAGGCAAAACACAATACTCACGAAAGGCGATACCATCTCTTGCAAACCTGGGTAACTTTTAGCAGGTCATTTAGAGGTAAATAAGCAAAGATTCCCAATAGCAATTCATCTGGTAGTGCATCCCAAGAAGCACCTTCAAGAAAAAATGAATTTTACAGGGAATTAATTAATGTAAATTAATTGAAATGAAAACCAGACGACAAAGGAAAAAGCCTTCTAATTTATCTCCACCTCATTGCCTTGGGCAATGCAAATACCAATACCCTGCTTATATACGTTCAGCATTTCCTCATTGGAAAGATATTACAATTACTACTCTTATTCACGATGGTACTAAGTGCACCCCATATACATATATACAACAGTATACAGGTTTCCCTTGCTTTTATGCTGTACATGTGTTCCTGGAAAATGGCGCGTAACTTGAGTTTGCTTAAAGGGAACCCACTTTACAAAGTAACACATAGGGTCACGTTCTAGGA